GTGCGTGTGAGATAATTTAGGTTATAGCTGTCGATTCCTTTAGTTTTAAGCTTATGATCATGTGCTTCCAGAATCTTACAACACATTTTGAAGTGTTGAATCGATGTTTACGTTACTAAGACGAAGCTAATTAAGACGTGGGAAATATGTTCTATTTAATAATTTCTCGGGAGAAAGATGAACGTCTTAGCTTTGTTCAACTCATTTAACTACCTCTCTACAAACTAAACTCAAAAAGGAAGCAAAATGACAATGGAGTCACCGACAACATCCCCGCACTTGGTCGTGTCAGAGTTTGAAGGGGCAATACCGAAGAACGAAGATTCATTCTCTTACTTCATGCTCGTGGCCTCCGAAGCATCTTGTATAATTCGTTTCACCATCCTGTTGTTTCTTTGGCCCGTCATTGCACTCCTTGATGTTTTTGGCTACAAAAACGCCTCTCTCAAGCTCATGATCTTTATAGCAACGGCTGGTGTCCACGAGTCGGAGATCGAGCTGGTAGAGCCGTTCTGCCAAAGTTCTACATGGATGACTTGAGCATGGACACGTGGAGGCTTTTCAGCTCGTGTAAGAAGAGGGTCGTGGTAACGAGGATGCCTCGAATTATGGTGGAGTGGTTCGCCAAAGAGCATCTTAGAGCCGATGAAGTCATCGGTACGGAGCTTATCGTGAACGGGTTCGGTTTTGTCACTGGTTTAATACGTGAACCCGATATCGATCAGTCTGTTTTGAGCCGTGTCGGTGACTTGTTTGTTGATCAGAGGCCTCATCTAGGTATTGGAAGACCGGCCAAGATGATTTCTAAAACATTCTTATCGTTATGCCAGGTAATTCTACGAAAATTTGACCTAATAGATAATATTAATCACATAAAGATATATTTTAAAATATATCGTTAGAATTTCGGACTTTCAGTCCATAGTCTCAAAAAAAAAATCTCTAAAATCATCTCCACTAGAAGTTTGGCTTTTCACATAAAAAAACTAGTAAAAATCGTAAAAAGTAAGGAAAAGAACATGATTTTTTTTTTTTTTTATAAAGAAGAACATGAATTTCTTATATGACAAACTCTAACAAAAATTTGAGAGATTCATTTAACACATGTCACAACATAATTTGATTCATACCTTTTTTTTCAATTTAAATTTAGTTA